CCTTCGCCCGTCAACCCCCCCCCGCACGCTCCTCAACAGCTCACTCTGTTCTGCCTTAACCACTACAACCGCAGTTGATTTCTTTTGCTGATTAATTATGGAGCACGATTACTTATCGACATGAAAATCGCCTCTCGTCCTTATCACCCAAAAAATGAAGGTAGGTGAGTAGCCACGCCCGCGCTGGACAATTTGCTTAAGAAGTAACAGGATCAGTTGGATGGACTTGTGGCAAACACGCTACTTGTTGCCGATGCAGGACTTTTAAGTGTTTAATCATCTCGAAAACAAACCTGCCACTCCAATCCCCAGGGCAAGCAAACGCCAGGGAAATCACATGCTGTAATGTTGAAAATGGCTTGCAGCAGGCTCCATCTATACAACAAAACGAAACGCAATCCTGCCGAGTGAAGACCCTGGGGCCACAACGGACAGATTATAGGAGGTTCAAGAGGCCCCTGACCAAGTGTGCCAATGAAACCACGGCTGATTCGACCAAAATGACGTGCAAATTCGGCCTATGTTATCCAAAAGGCATCTTTTTTATAGGACTTGTACTGGCCCAACTTAAATTGCAATGCTCAACCTCTCGTGGCTGCTTGAACGTGCGCACCAGTGTCCCCCAATCCGGTCTGGTCAATCACCTTCAAACCTGACTCACACAGGACTTTACACTGTGACCGGATAAACCACAGCTTAGCCTCTGACACACTTTGGGGACCATGGAGCACTTTTTTGCAAAGGCAACAGTATTTGCAGTATACTGTCTACTTCTATTTTTACAAAGTTATTCCTTTTTTTTAATTTTCAAGAGGCCTAATAAGTCTGCCCTTCTGTCACTCAACTGTAAATTTTTCAAACTGTGAGATAGTACTCAGTTAGTGGAAAACCAAAAAAGTGTTCACTTGCCATAGGAGATGGAGAAGCAGAAAAAATAAATGCTAACAGTGATTAGACCGAAAGAACAAACAGCTACAGAAAACTGAAGGCCCCATGTAAACTATTCATGTACCTGCTGGCAACAAACGGGTGGGCAGGAGTGAGAAAAGGTTAAAGTACTAGCACTTATGATGAGGTAGTAGTAGTAGTAGTGGTGGGGCTAGTAGTAATAGTAGTAGGGCGTAAAAGAGTAGGAGGAAAAGTGGTTTTAGCTATGGTAACAGACATAGCAAGAATGGGGGGGGGGAGAAATGAGTCTTGTTATTAGAAAACAGCACAGTTACTTGGGACTACTTATTCTGTTTGCATAAATTTAATCCATTCGTCCACCTTTCCGCGAACCAATTTCTCTGCCTGATGCAGACGCTGAGCAAGTGGACAACGTTTTGTTTCCGGTATGAAGAGTAATGTCAAAAACGCACAAAAAAGTATGGCACTTCCATAAATGACTCCAGGGAGGAGGTAATGGATGGCATCCAGGGAGTTGATGACAGGAGCAAGGCAGGTAGCAACAGAGCTGATTGACATGGTTAAGAAGAGTCCCATGTTACGTATTGTTGTGGGGTGTATTTCTGTCACAAGCAGTATCGTCAAGCTAACTGTAGAGGAAGCTGTCACCTTCCCAACAAAGACAATCACGATGCAAGAAATTTCCGACAGTGGCCGCACCGCCGGGCCAATTACAACACAGGAGGCTGTGACCGCCGCGAGAATGGCCACCGACAGCCGCCGACAAAAGAAGTGGGCCACTGCCCAACCAACAAATGGCGCAGGCAACTCACCTAGGCCCATACAAACTACATTCAAGAAAATGTTTGTGCTTGCAAAGTTTTGGCTCGTGGATAAACCATAGAATGAAAGAAAAATGGCCGACATGTAGATGCACAAAACGACAGCTTTTTTGCGCATGTTTGGCATACGGAAAATTGCAATCAGGCCATCTGTGACTGCGAAACAGCCCTTTTCCTTTCTTTTGCCAGCATTTGTTAAGGCCGTTCCATCGCTGGGGCATTTGTTGTGAGTTTCGGAGCCGATAATTGACGAAACCGCTTCCTCTACGAAATCTTCTGTCAGCTTCACTCGGTTCCAGCGTGCAATTCTCCTAAGAACACTGTGAAATTTCACATATTCGCCATTA